CCCGGCCATGATGATTGTATAAACATTTCCAGAAGGATGCAGATAAGAAAAAAAAAGGTCTATGTAAACACTAGATGGCTTGTGACCAGGAGATATTATTAGTTTATTAAGGCTTTAAAAATACCCAAAAGCTCAACAAAAGGAAAGAAGAAATTTGCTTTCATTTTAACCTCTGTTATTGTTGCTAGGGTCAGTAATATGACAGAACCAGGCATCTCATGAGACGCATGATATCATAAAGATCACAGGAGGGGCAGAAAGGGAAGTTGCAGAGATGTGACTAAGGTGACCTTTCTGTTCAGTGAAGAATAAGAAGGTTGAGGTGGGCACTGCCCTTTGTGTGAATTAATGGAAACTGAAGAGAGGTACAGATTAGAGACCAAACTCCTCATCGTGGCGTGGCTCCCCAACCTCATCTCAAGCACTCTCTCCCTTGTTGTGTTCCTAGAATCACATAAAATTCTTCCCCAGCAGGATCTTTCTTTCTGTGCTGCTCCTTCAACTTGGAATGCTTTCCTCTGGCACTAAAGTCTTGGCTGATTCCTCTTTATCCTTTAGGTTTTAGCTTAAAATAGAGGGTCAGTGAAAATGAGGGAAACCCTCAGTGAGATGGATTGACATAGTGGCCAAAACGATGGACTCAAACATGCTAATGATCATGAATATGACTCAGGACTGGGCAACGTTTAGTTTTGTTATACATAAGGTCACTATGAGTTGGAGCTAGCTCAGTGGCAACTAACAACAAATCACCTCCTCCAAGAGGCTTTCCCTGCCGGCTTCCAACAGAGTTCTTTCAGGTTTGAACCCCTGCTGAGAATTTGCATTTCTAACAAGTTCCCAGGCCAGGCTAATACGGTTCTTAGGGATCAATTCTGAGAACCACTAGTAGAGCAGTGGTTCTCAAAATTTATTATACATAAGAATCACCTGGGAATCTTGTTATAATGTAGATTCTGATTCAGTATATCTGGAGCACAAAGGCAAATTCTCAGCAGGATTTGAACTGGAATGAACTGGTTGGAAGCCCCGCTTCCCTGAACACTCATTTAGAGGGAGGGAGCTAGTAATTCTCCACTACAGTCATTTGTTTATTACCTTCATAGCGCTTATTATAACCAGTCCTTATTTTGTGTTTGTCTGTTTTTTTGTCCCCCCCTCAAAAAAAACAAAACAGGAAGTACTCAAAAATATCTCTTAAATGATTGAACCAAATTTCCTTTCAGAGGTGAACAGAACCTCAGGATGGGGGGAGAGTTGGCCCAGATTCACAGCTTCGAGTCTCCCATGGGAGCTCATGATAAAGCTTCTCCCTTCTCCTTGCCTAGGAATTCACTGTGCTAACTAGGAGTGTAGATGGCCTCCTTTAGCTTTCACTGGCCAAGTCTGATTTGAATCCAATAACCAACAGGTGAAAATAATCCTAATCACTTTGTGAAACCTAATTACTTTGTGAGGCCAAGCTACTCTTCATTTCTCCTACACCAGTGGTTCTTAAACTTCAAAGCGCATCGGAATCCCCTGGGAGGGCTTGCTAAAATGCAGATCACTGGGCCCCACCCCCAGGGTTTCTGATCCAGTAGATCTTGGTGGAGCCCAAGAATGTACATTTCTGACAAGTTCCCAAGTAATGTGAATACTGCTGGTACAGGGACCACACTCTGAGAACCCATTGCTGTCGAGTTGATTCTGACTCATAGCGACCCTATAAGACAGAGCAGAAGTGCCCCATAGGGTTTGCAAGGAGTGGCTGGTGAATTTGAACTGCCAGCCTTTTTGGTTAGCAGCCAAGCTCCTAACCACTGTGCCACCAGGGCTCCTATGCTCTAAGAAGCACCATCAAAAACACTGAAATCGCTAGAGCTATTGATTATTAAGACTTTGAGCAGGAAAGAATATAAAGAAGCAGGCGATTGGCCACATCTAGAGAAAAGGAGTGTTTGCAGGGATCACAGTCTTGGAAATCCGCCAACTAAGATTTTGAGTTAAAGTAGTCCACCCGACCAGGTAGCCCACCACCTACCCCCATAACGTTTTCATTTTATAAAAAACCAACCAGCCAATCAACCTATTAATTCCACGTGAACGTCCTGAGAATCACTGCCCCAAGAGAGTGACCAACCACCCTAGTTTACCTGGGACTGAGGGGTTTCCTAGGATGCAGGACTTTCAGTGCTAAAACCAGGAAAGTCTTAGGCAAACTCTAATGGTTTGGTCACCCTAGTGTCAAATCTTTGTCTCCAATAAAGAAAATGCAGAAAAATATCTATGGTATAATGTTTATTTAAATAGTAATCTTAAAAAGGCTTTATACAAATCATATAAACACAGTTTGACATTGTTGTTTGTTTATTTTTTACACTGATGCATCACAGTAAAAGCTCTCAAGTTCCCATGATCTGGCTCAGCCAGTGAATGGTCAAATACCTGTAACTGTAAACTCTGGAAAAGTTAACCTTACGTGTAACAGTTTAACTTTTTCCCTTGTTGTCATTCATACTCATCCCTTGGCCCCTGGTCCCTGTCAACTTCCCATCCCCACCAAAGAGAGAAAGCAACCCTGTGGCCCTGTTAACTGCCTAGTAAGGGAGAGCATGGAGGTAACGTGTTATTCAGTACAAGGCAAAAAGGAGATCAATACTGTGAATTGGGTTTCCCAAAGGGGACTACTCGAGAAGCCCGGTCAGCTAGCCTACTCGCAGATAAAGGTAACAAATGCACCAAGGTGTGCCCTGGCCAAGTTATGATTTGCACAGCTGTCTTTCTTTCTGCCTGACAACATGCCAGCCTCCAGCCTTGGTGAGGTATCTACATGTAGCCCTGGGTAGCATGCTTCTGTTCAGGGTCTCTGATCAACCAGTGGTGAATAAGGATATAGGACGTTTAGGGGAATGGAGGCTGAGTTGTACATAACTTAGGGGTGAACTGCAGGCCTCAAACAGGACTGGTCTTTGGGGAATTGTGAAATGGCCCACTGGGCATAAGAGCGGCAAGACCCCAAGAGTAGGCTTTCAAACTTCTCTTCTTTTGCAGGAGACTTCTGGAAATCCCTAGGACTTGCCAGCTTCCTGAACACTGAACTGCATGGGAGGGTGAGCTAATTAAAAACTTCCTTCTGCATGCTCAGCTCAGGGAAGGCCTACAGCTAAGCCCTTGGACTTGACAACCTTACTTCTCACCTCTAACTACCATTGTGCCAATGAGTGCCAAAATCAGCAGTATACTCAGGCCCTAGGTCAAAGTCACAATAACACCACTGAGTCCCACCTGACCATTCACATACACAGTAGATACAGAGAACTCAAAGGCCGTAAAGACACACACACATATGAATAAATACCTGTCGATATGAACTCTCCCTCTCTGCATACAAAACCCTGTGACATTACCATTTGAACTATCATTTCCATAAGTTAACATTTAAAGGAACCAGCCAGTCCCATTCACCCTTCCCCTTTCACTAGGTATGAGACAATGAAATTGTGTGTGACCATAGCAGCAAAAATGGTCTGACAGTTTACCACTGATCCACGGTAAGCTGGGCATAGTGATTGGGTTTCAAATGTAATTCCAGCACACAGGCAATCCTTATGCGTTAATATGAAATCAAGATTTAGATCTTGATGCAGACAATCTTCTCCTTCACAGTCTCCTTCTATTCCTGATGCCTCCCTTTTTGGAGCAGTTGAGAGTCATCTAGAGCTATGCCTGCCACTTGGGTAGCAGGGCACATTCCATTAGTAGGATCAGCAGAGAGTTAGGGGGACTGGGAGTGGAGCCATTTGGGGGAGGGAAGGAGGAATGCCTTAACTTGTATGATATTCGTTGATTTCTACAGCGGGGAAAATACATTTTTCTTCATTTTTCAAGGCACTTAATAAAAAACACATAAATTGGTGTGTGTGTGCGTGCATGCGTGTGCATGTGCGTGCGTGCATGTGTATGCGTGTGTGTGCGTGTGTGCGTGTGTGTGCGTGTAAGAACCTAAGTCTCTCTGGGGTTGAAGCAGCGTTGTTAGCATTTTGGTCCCAAGTACTTGCAGACTTCTGGTTGGAATCAGTTCGTATATATCTTTGCTCTGACTCTCATGAAAAGCTGAGGTGGTGGCTGTAACCCAAAGGGGAAATCAGTGTTTACTAGCCTGTCAGAGAGACTTATTCATCAAAATGTCTGTCTGCACAGGCTGCCCAGCCTTTGCCATCACACGGTCACAGAGCTGGGCTTCTGTTTCCCTCTCCACTGCTCTTCCTTCCACCCAGGGTCACCAGGTACAACATGTCACTGGTGGAGAAAACACACTGAGAGCCTGTATTTTCCCTGCCCGGCCTCTGAGAATATCAAACAACGCTATTTCCTAGGGTTTAGAGCCCTCACAGGAGTCCCCGGGTGGTGCAGATGGCTAAGTGCTGGACTACTAGCCAAAAGGTCACAGCCTGGAAAACCCTATGGAGCAGTTCTACTCTGCACACATGGGGTTGCCATGAGTTGGAATCAACTTGACAGCAACTGACAACAAGAGATCTGACAAATGCGTAGTGTGTTGTGTGTGTTTTAGGAGAATAAGGGGAAGGGAACAGAAAAGGCAAAACCACCACCAGAGCCCCCACAAGGAAAGCTTCCCCATGGCCACAAACTCTGGGTCTAGACTGAATGAATGGCTCCTATTCACAAAGCACTTTAAGGCTTGTCTGCTTCTAACATGGAGGTGTGTCTCTGGATTGTGTTGTGAAGTTTCCTTTCTGGTTTGTTTTGAATCCCATATAAGAAAGAGCTGTTTATGCTGACTCTAGAATGGCAATTTTCCCCTGGATAAAAAAAGTTAAAGGCAACAACATCCTACTTAAATGCTAGGACTGGCAACGGCAGCTTGTAGGGATGGCTGGCAGAACCTCCACTACAGCAAATCCCCAAAGGTCTGAGATGCCCAGAGCCTGGGATAAGCTGGACAGCTTTGTTTGTGTTTTATTTCTAAAGATGGAAAGGCCGAAAACACCCTTAGCTTTTCAAGTGTTGATTAGAAAGAGAAAGCGGAGAACAACATCAACACTCAGCTCCGACCACTGCAAAGGTCATTATCCTGTTCTGCCTCTTTGAGTTGCTCACAGACCAAAGAAAATAAAATAGAATAATAACAAACACACAAACAAAATAGAACTGTGACCCCAAAGAGATGAGCTCCTGTCTTTGTCCCAGCAGAGAGCACAGCCCCGTCGCTGCAGTGACTCAGCCACCGCGGTCCTTGGTGAGCAGTGATCCCCTGCGTGGGCTGTGTCTCCCCCCTTCCTTCGACTTGCCTGCCTGTCTTGTCCACACCTTCGGTATTCGGGATCAGTTTGACCGAGATTATGGCATTCCGTTCCCAAAGGAAAAAAAAATCTAATCTTCACCAGCCTGTCTTGCTGGAATGAAATGTCAGATGTGATTCGGGTGTAATCCGTCATGCCTCGGAGCAGCACTTCTGGTGGTTCATTTTGACCTTGTGCTTGAGGCCGTCATAGAGCTCGAAGTTGTAGTTCTCCAGCGTGGTGCAGCTGCGTGAGTTCAGGCCGGAGTAGGAGCACGTGCAGTAGAGCAGGAGCCCGGCACAGGTGGCCCCCAGGAGCACACCCAGTGAGCTCATGGCGATGATGGTGATGAGGATGGGGTCCAGGGTGTACAGCCAGCTCTTTTCTTTGTCGGACGAGGAGACACCAGACCCTGAGGTTGGGGAAGAAGAGTTGCTCCAATCCACCTCGTACTCATCTATGATTCAAAACACACATAAGATTGCAGGTGCTGACTATTTCAAGGTGAAGCTGTTGCCTAAGCCCCTCCCAGCCCACTTTAGGAGCTCCTCAGAGCACAAGAACTCAGGAACTAGATTGGGTTCAAATCCTAGTCCTACCACATCTTTACTGTGCAGCCATGGGCAAGTTATTTCACCTTTCTTTGCCTCAGTTCTCTCTTTGATAAAATGGAGATACTAATAATATCTACCTCATTGGGTTGCAAGGAGGATTAAATGAATTAATATTTGTAAAGTGCTTGGAATGGTATCTGGCACATAACAAGTACCACACAAGTATTTGATCTACCACCTGTCTGTCAATTTGTTTGTACTGTGGTGGCTTGCATGTTGCTGTGATGCTGGAAGCTATCCCACCAGTCTTTCAAAAAGCAGCAGGGTCACTTATGGTGGACAGGTTTCAGCAGAACTTCCAGACTAAGATAGACTAGGAAGAAAGGCCTTGTGCTCTACCTCTAAAACTTAGCCAGTGAAAATTGTATGAATCTCAACAGAACACTGTCCAACTCACTTGCTTAGACATGACATCAGGAGGGATCAATCGGCAGAGGAAGACATAACATTTACCGAAATAGAGGGCCAACATGGGTGTGAGAGACCCTCGGTGAGATGGACTGGCACAATAGCCACAAAGATGGACTCCAACCTGCTGGTGATCATGAGGATGACCCAGGACCAGGCAATGTTTCATTATGTTGTACATAAGGTTATCATGAGTCAAAGCTGATTCAATGGCATCTATCTATCCATCCATCCATCTATCTATCTAATATTTAAATAATTTGACTGATACTAGATAAGCTCAGATTTTAACAGACCCTTCCCAGTGCCTTTGAGCACCTGGATGACCCTGTGTTCTAGGCACCCTTCTTTCTTTGCCTCCTCATCCCTCACTTCTAACTGATTCAAGTTAAATCAAAGGACAGGCTGACTATTGTCCCATGATGGGTTCCCCAATTTAGCATTCCTGGCCATGCAGGCAGCTGGTGCTTTCTGGCCACCAGGCCTCGCTTGACATACATCTTCCCTTACATTTCTGTAGTGTGGCCAAGGCATGGCCACATATCCACAGCTCATTTATTGGGAGCTCCCAATAATCCCACAAAGAAGGCAGGCCAATAGTATATTTTTTTAATAGATGAGGAAAACTGGGGTTTAAAGAAATTAGGCAAGTAGATAGTGACTCAAGATCACAGAGTGAGCAAGCTGGGAAAGTAGGGTCAGGACTCAGGCTTTCTGCATCCTCCTCATCCCTTGCTCTTTCCATCACATAGCAGTGTTTCTGCTGCTTGATCTACTGCAGCCTCTCCATGTAGGTCAGTCATGCAGCTCTGCCCATAAAAGGAGCGTTGGACTGGGTTTTGCAGGGAGAGTCTGCATTCAGTTAGCAAGGTGCTGTTTGGGTTAGTCACTCTAGTTTCTATAACTACACTCAAAGTTTTTGATTAAGGTCAGGTTAAAAGCAGCTGCTCTATAAACTGTTCTTTTAAACGCATCAATCTTGTGCGAAAGCTGTTCTTTGCTTGGAGTCTTGCTGTTGAGTCTCTTGGAGATCAACTCTGGCACTCAGAGACCTGTGCTGCTCTGAGCTGAGGAAGGAAATTATATCTACATGTTTTCTCAGCGGCCCTCAGGTTAGGGCTGTTGCTCCAGCTTCTTGAAGTATGTGAATTTGAAGTAGAAAAATATAATTTGGAATAAATACAAAAATACAAGATGGGCAGTGTGGGAAAGAAACCTAAATCTTGCAATGAGCCCCAACTTGGGGTGTTGGATAGTGTGAGAAAGGTTCCTCAAAGCCAGGGAACTGGAAACCACAGCAGGCCTGGAAGAATATTCAAGTTACACTCATTTACTCAGGCTCTTTTTGGGAGGAGGTCAAAGGGTTCAAGCAGCAACATCGATGGAGGAGTTCTTCTACTTTTAAAGGGTTTATCTAGATTTGGCCATCAATGTAGAAGTTTGCCCAAAGTAGGGGACCTGTTTCAGATTAGGCAGAGCTAACTCAATAAACTTTCTAAATCTCTAAATTTGACCTTACAGAGTAACTCATGGTTTCTTCATTTCCCTCTAGACTCTTTTCACTTATATTTCTGACTGCTAGCTCTAAATTCTGATGTCTTTATAACCAAACTTGAATTTCATGATTACCTGCTAAATCATAGCAATACTCACCATCAATTTCCTCATCATAGCCCCCTCTCCCGTGTATTTCTGGGATGTCCACTAAAATGAAAAAAGAAAACAAACAAACCAAGTCATAAAAAGTCCTATCATCATGGTTAAAAGGCAGAGATGCAATCTTCTTGAGGCTGGCTCCTGAGTATGGTGGACAGATAGAGAATCACCATCAGCTTCTAGATCATTTAATGTATACATTATTGGATCATTGCCCCTTCAAGGGACCTGTTTTTATTTCTAATAACAACCAGAAGAACAGAAACAATAAGAAAAGCCAGGTCTTTAGTGCTAAGTTGTGTCTTTATAATGATTATTATTCTTCACCAATGGGTTTTATCTAAGGCACCTCAACAGCATCTATGCCCATCATCAGTTGCCATTACTGTGATGCCCATTTAGTGTATAGCACAGGTCACCTTCTCATATGCATGCAACTACGTGGACACAAAGTACAGAGTCTTTTTCCTCTTGGTTGCAAATAAATGTACAGTAATTTAAGGAAGCCACATTTCATCATTACATGTTTTAATGTAGGAGTAGAACTGGAAAAAAAAAAAAAAAATGCCTGTCCACCTCCACATATCTGAGCTAATATCTTTCGTCTTTCTCCCCCAGCCTATTTTTCCTATTGGCTTCATGGTTTAGAATAGATCGAACATGGGCATCCAGTCTGACTAGTCCAGGCTTGAAGAAAGCTAAGTTAATTTACTCTGAATGTTCTCCAGTATTATCACTGTCTATCTGTCTCTTTTTTTATGATATTTTTTTGGGATAACACAGGTCTCTCTATTCACTATGCTGCCCATCTTATAGAAATCAGAGTCAGTGAATATTACCTGTCTGAAAGGGTAAAACACATTAAAAAATGGAATCAAACATGTGCTGAAGAGCAGGATCTTATCATTTCTTCCTATCTCACAAGTTAATTATGGCTGTCCAGGCATTCAGCTCAAGTTGGCCCCAGTGAATGTATGCAGCTCTTTAGGAGTTTTGTTCAACCCAAGGTCAGGTGAATAACTGTGAGTTCAGCAGTATAAATTGATATCCTAAAATGACCGCCCTGAAAGGGAACACAACAGAGAGTCCCTGACGGAGCAGGAGAAAAGTGTGGTGCAGAACTCAAATTCACGTAAAAAGACCAGACTTAATGGTCTGACTGAGACTAGAGGAATCCCCGAAGCCACGGCCCCTGGATGCTCCGTTAACCCAGAACTAAAACCATTTCTGAAGCCCACTCTTCAGACAAAGATTAGACTGGACTATAAAACATAAAATAATACTCATGAAGAGTGTGCTTTTTAGTTCAAGTAGATACATGAGACCAAATGGGAGGCTCCTGTCTGAAAGTAGGATGAGAAGGCAGAAAGGGACAGGAGCCGGTTGGATGGACACGGGAAACCCAGGGTGGAAAGGGGGAGGGTGCTGTCACATTATAGGTATTGCAACTAGTGTCACATAGCAGTAAAAGAGAACAACAACAAAAAATCAAAGTTTAAAGCCCAAAACTCAAAAAGTGTAGTATCATACAAGAGGAAAAAGAACTTCAGATGGACCTGAGCTTCTCCCTCATGAGCACTACATTCCGGGAAGATCTGCTTGACTGTGACCTCAACTAAGCCTCCATTTGTCACTGCCAGACTTGAAATCCAGTCTTTTCCTAAAGGCGGCAGTTTTAATCATATTAGAAGTCTTTCTCGTTCCTGGCCAAAGCTCTCAAGCACATTCTCATCCCCTTAGTTGCTAGTAAGGGATGCACAAAATAACGTGCCAAGACCCCACTTGGAAGGACCCTGGCCCTGTCTACCACATGCCATGTGGCACCATTCCTCCATAAATCCAGTCTGTTCCTGGCGTGTTTACAGCACAGCAACTGGCGCCTGCAAGCCACGCCAGCTTCCCCACTTCGATTCCCATCCCTTGTATTATTGTCCAGGTCCCTACAAAGCAGGCTGTTTCCTTGGAATGAAGACATGAGCATGAATCAACAAGAGCCAGGTGGTGTCTCTCATAGGGATCAAATCAAGTTTGTGAAAGTCAACCCAGAGCTCTTTTTTAACCTTAGAGAAAAAAAAAGAAGATGGGAGAAAACTGTCACATTTCCAATAATTAATCATTTTTATGGGATGCTCACATGTCTTAACACCTTCACGGTTAAAAGATGCGAAACACTGGGTAAGAATATATGAATCAGCACGGGAGGAGAACTGTGGGGCTCCTGTCAGTGGATTTTGGGCCAAATCCTGTTCTTGCTTTTAGGGATTTGGTCCCTGCCAAGGATGTGATGAATTCTTGGAGGTTAGAATGCCACCCTGCTCCATCTCATACCCTCAGGGAGGAACTCTTAGGACACTATTGATCATGGACTGGAAAGAGGTGGATCTTGGAAGAACGGTAGAAGGATGGTTATAACTATGAGAACATCTTGACCTGGGAGATCACAGCCTCCTGTCTCTGGGACCTCTGTTGCTTTCTTATCTGCAGGCAGAGAACTGGATGAGATGACTTCTTAAGAACTGGTCAGGTTATAATGTTCTATGAAATCTGTTGCCCAGATGTGGCTGAGATTTCTGCACCTGGAGAATCAAAAGCTACTTAAGGTGAAGAAGAACACTTCAGTGGGTTGACTTGGGCTCTTTATATGATTACTGCTCCCAGCAGTTTGGGTGAGTGGAAAGGGGTCAAAAAAAGGACAAATCAGTCAACATTTTTCAAAGCACATCTGTTCACCAAGGCTTAAAGAAAGAATGGCATGCTGGGGAAAACCCAAATAAAGGGAACATTTGTACAAAAAGCAATTTACTTTGATAGGAATTTTCTCTGGTTCCCTGTCTAATATTTCTGATATCTGTGTTTGATTCAGAGCTTTCTCTCTCAAAAGCCTCTTTGCCCTTCATGGTCACTTTCCTTTCCTGTTGAGTCCAGTAGATAAACTTCAGCTTGTTTCCTCAGGATGCTGGCAGGAAGAATCTGGTTCTCCACTAGGTCCTTGCAGTTCTAGCAAAGACAAGGCAAGGCAGGGCAGCTGCCAAGAGGAAATCCAGGAGGAAAGGTACTAGCCCTTCCTTGGGGCAGGAGGGAGAAGTGCTGAGTGGGGAGCTCAAGCAGCACCTCCCTGGGAAGGGGAAATGGCACTACAGGATGGGAGACCCAGCTGGAGAAGTGAGAGAAGATAGCAGGAGAATGTGAGGAGCACAGACTTAGAATTTTGTTTTTAATTTCTTTTAATAGAGAAAAACTTGAAGAGGACCTCCCAGGACTTCGTTTTAGTGGATGGGTGTGTTTGTGAGATGGAGGAGGCAGACAGGGATGGGCCACACCTCTAGGAGAACACAGATCACGAATGGATCTTACCACCCACAGGACTTGCACTTTTAACTTTTGCACACACATGACCCCGTTTTCTTCTGGGCCCCTATGTGGATGTAATCTCAGGTCAGTCTGACTCCAAAGCCTGAAGTCTGACTCTCAGTATTGTATTAGGGCCAGAGGAGATTCCCAAGTGTGGCTACAAGTTCTTCTGTTGTGGGCAGAATATTGCAACTACCACCATATCACTACTACCCCATTCTAACAGAAGAAAGGGACTGCCTTGTCTTGGATCCTAACTGGCCGGATGTGTACTCTCTGGCTGTTTGTCTGCATCACTGGCTCACCATTTTGGTGGGAACTGTGTGAGTGTGAAAATGTAGTGATCTAAAATTTGGGGCTTCACATTTTCCATGGTAGGCATTACTCAGAAAGAGAAAGTTAATTTATATTGGTCTTCAAAGGAAAGTCTTAATTAAGGAAGCAAGCAAGCAAGCAACCAGCCAGCCATCATTTATAAGAGGGCTTACTAGGTACCCAGGAATCATACTGAGGACTTTGGGAAATAAGATGTATGGAACAAGGTCCCTACCATCAAGGCGCTTCTATTTGGTTGGGGAACAAAGATTCATTTGTGTTAAAGTAGCATGAGAGAAAGCAGACCATTTATGGTGGGAACGTCAATGCTACAGGAGTATGGGGCATGAAAAAAAACAAAAACAAAAACCCTGCTGCTGTTTAGTCGATTCCAACTCACAGCGACCCTATAGGACAGAGTAGAACTGCCCCATAGGGTTTCCAAGGAGCAGCTGGTGGATTTGAACTGCCAACCTTTGGGTTAGCAGCCGAGCTCTTAGCCACTGCACCACCAGGTAGTGGGACATGAAAGGTATGGGGCAAATTGGGCCAGGCCATTGCCAGGAAGGAAAACTTGGGAGTGGGATGTGTTGAAATTGAGGCTTCTGCAAGGTGAGGGTTGGGAGAGTCCTATATTCTTTATCTGTTTGTTTGATAGGAATGGTTTCAAATGTGTCAACTGAGCCTTTTTACCCATGCACTGATCTCTCAGCTTTTTGTTTGTATTCATTTTTATCAGACCCACCAAAGAGTTCAAAGTGATTGCCCTGCCTGGCCACCAATCTTCTACCCTATTTTTCCCTAGGTGGGTGTCAGGTCTCTTTAGCAGCTGCTGCAGAAAAACCAGTGAGAGAAACTGGTGAACTAATGAGTAACTGGAAGGGAGGTTAACAGAGTTTGAGTAATCAAGTGTGGCCGAGTAGCTGCAACTTAAAACAAAACAAAAACTCAACAAAACCCGGTCGTTTTCATATTGAGTAAAAATCTCCAGGTGACAAGCCCCATTGCTTTCTCAGGTGTTCCTTCCCTTGGCATTATTAAGAGATGGGTTAGGTACATGGTGAAGAGTGATTCAGGACAACATTTCCTATTGTCCTGATTTTTCAGAGTGAGAGACCCATACTGGCTAGTTATTCAAATCCACTGGACTGTTCCAGGAACTCTCCCATCCTAGAAGAGTCACGTATTCTCTAGTGCCTTGTAAGTAAATTGCAACACTACAGCACAGACAGTAAACAGCGACACCCAGTCACAAACCAAAACGACTCCAATGAAATACGTTTCTCCCTGAGGGGTCTGGAACACGGCCTGGTGTTGTAAGACCACACATGCTATTCAGGGGAGACACTTTCAACCTGCAGCCGGGAAATTCCCCACTGAGT